TTATCATCATCATCAAACAAGCTACCTATTAAATACAGGAGACACTGGATCAGAAGAGGAACTGGGAGAGAATCCATCAATAGTGTGATACTATAGACTAGTGGTTGAATGAGTTACAGTTCCTGATATTCGAGTAGCAGAAGAGAGAAGAGAAGAGAGGACCAACTGCCAATGCCCAAGATGAAATAATTTTTTCTTTCATAAAGTGTCAGCTTTTAATAGTCTCTGTATTGCGCAATAGGTGTTAACCCAATGGTAAGGGCATGCTACAGCAAGTTATGTTCAGTGTGCTTGCATGTACATGTACATGAAATGAGTTAATAGGTCACAAAGTTATTGAAATCACATGTCTATATATTTCTAAAATCTACCTACATTGTACATGTAATTTTAAAACTATTTCTTCTTAATCTCCAACAATAAAGTCAACTGTGCTGTACGTGGATCAGGGGCACTTCTTATGCCCCTCCCCCTCTTTGCCTACACACATACATGTACATGTACAACTGTATATTCAAGTTACTAGAAGAATGTGAAACATTAAGAACTTGCCACACCCTAAGGGCTACATGTATATGTTATAACACCCCGGTGAGGGATATATCACATTTATAATCACCGAGCCCGAGGGCCGCAGGCCCGAGGGCGAGGTGATTATAAATGTGATATATCCCGAAACCGGGGTGTTATAGCGGATTTATTTCCTACTCGTGGCAAACTTTTCTACTGCGCATGCGCAATGAATTGAAAACGTGGTTGACACAGGCGAGAAGACGATCATACTGCAGAGAGAACGGACTCAACGCAGGATGGCAGAAAACGTTAATCCAAATGCCGCTCCTACTCCAAAGAAAAGGTTGTCTTTGTCATTGAAAAAAAGGAGGACCAGCGAACGTTTTGGGGAAACATCAGAGGAAGAACTTCATTCTATGTCTTCGTACACGATGCCAAAAAACTCTGCTACCAGTAGCCGATGGGCTTTAAAAAACCTAAGCGACTGGCGAGAAGAGTACAATCGTAGACACCCTGACAAAATTTGTCCCGAAGAGGTATTGTTGCCTACTTGTTCAAAGGAGCTGCTGAACGAATGGCTATGCGTGTATATCACTGAAACAAGAAATAAGAACGGCGAACTGTATCCTCCTAGGACAGTATATTCTTTGTTGAGTGGCATTTTACGTGAAATGAGGGTACAAAATCCAGAGTATCCCAACTTTTTGAAAAAAGACGACCCAGTTTTTAACAAGTTCCAAACGACACTGGATAACTTGTTCAAAATACTCAGAACTGGTGGTGTTGGCTCAGACTACAGCCCAACAGAAGGGATATCCCTGGAGGATGAAGAAAAGCTGTGGACTTCTGGTTCTCTGAACGTGGAAACACCTACAGGGCTACTTCGTGCTGCTTTCTTCATCTGTGGCAAAAGTTTTTGTCTCAGAGGCGGCCAGGAACATCGTAATTTGTCATTGTCTCAGCTTCAAAGAAAGGGGAATCCTGATAGATATGTCTACACTGAGAATAGTTCAAAAAATAAGCAAGGAGGTCTTAAGCAAATGAGGTTGGATCATAAAGTTGTCACTGTAGTTGCAAATTCCAAGATTGGTGAACGTTGTCCAGTGTATATACTTGACAAATACATCAGTAAGTTACCTGATAAAGCAAAGGAAATGGATTTATTTTATTGTCGGGCATACCCTAAGCTACCTAAGAATCCTAATGATCCGTGGTATATAGCAACTCCAATTGGCAAAAATACCTTGTCTACAATGGTTCGTGACATGTGTCTGGAGGCAGGTGTAGAGGGAGAGAAGTCGAACCATAGCTTAAGAGTTGCTGGAACTAGCAGTCTGTTTGCAGCAGGAGTCCCTGAGAAACTTATACAAAGCAGAACTGGTCACGTTTCATTAACTGCTCTCAGGAAATATGAACGTATAACAGATGAACAAGAGCTTGCTGTTTCTAAGATTTTAACAGGAGATGAAGATACATATGAAAAGGCTTTAAAATGTAGCGAAGACATCAGTATGACTTGTGAGTCATCAAGCAGCAATGTTTCTTCATCTGGTACAAGGAATGCTGATCACATTAAGGATCATACTTTTGCTGCTCCTGCAAATCCAAGTGTCAGCTACAATAACTGTACATTAAGGCGGATTTACAATATTACGCTAGTCCTGACGTTACGTTGACGCTGGAATAGAATCTGGTTCTATTCCAGCGGAAAGCAGGCGTCAAAAGGTCAAATCGCCCACGTTTTTGATTAAAAATTGACGGTACGCTGGCCTAATGTCATATTGTAAATCCGCCTTTAAACATGTATCAGACTGGACCACTGCCAATGATGGGGTACCCACCATTTCCAGCAAATCCAATCCCTACTTGGCCTCAAGTTCCCCCTTATGATCCCAATTTTCCACCTCAAGTTCCACTGTATGAACAATGGAAAGATGGTGAATACCATGACTCTAAGTAACTGCAAACTGTTATTCAAATAATGAATGCAATGTATATACTCTTCTTATCTTAATCAATCTTTATTTAATCAATTCATTTATTCAATTTAAAACTATTTTAATAATGTTTTGACCTGTATAAACTGTTAACCACTACCAGGGCATATATCAAACATCAAAGCAATTTATATGCCCCCTGTATGCTATATGACATTTATATCCCTGTCCTTGTCTTTGAAGTTTGCCACAAGTAGGATATAAGTACATGTACATGCATGTTACTACCCACACTTTTGCTCATTAGCGGAAAAATAGCTTATACACAGTTTATATGGACTTCTGGGGACTTGTGAGATTCTCACTCAAACAACACACCCATTAATCACTTCCATATACATCTACATATGGCTTACTCTGAAAAAAGTCTCAATAACTCTCCTTCATCTACTTTCGGCAAACCAGAAATACACAAATGGCGACTTTCTTTTGCTGACAGCGAGTTAGTACTCATATTAAGCTAAGCCAAAGTATTACGTTCCTCAGGTTTTTTTTAGCTCCGTAACAGTTCTGCATCAGAGCATAGATCTATGATCACAGCAACGTTCACAAGTTGAGAGCTTTTGAAGTTTACACTGTGCCTAGACCCTAGGCTACCGCTACAGGGTTAAAAAAAAAACTAAAATCACGTGATCCGGATTAATGGCAGGCTTAATAGCATTACCAATTAGTGTTCTATCATTAAGAATAAAGCGTAATGTAGATGATGTTGAAGGAACCGACTGGCCAGTTCCAGCTGAAATTGATTTCAGGACTGTATTGGTGAGCAATAATTTTTGAGTATAGTCTGGTATTTTTATGATAATGGAAATTTAATTAATGTAGATAATAAGTATAATATTATATACAAGTAAATAAAAAACATTAAAAATGGAGAAGTAGTAGGATTAAATTGGAAAAAAGTAAAGGAACAAGAGGATACTTGCAAAGTGGTGTGATAACAAATCCTACACCACTGCATGAAGAATACAACCCAGAGCATTGTAATTATCCACACAGGCTACTACATGATAAACTATGAAGCCATGTCTTTCATGCAGTGGTGTAGGATTTGTTATCACACCACTTTGCAAGTATCCTCTTGTTCCTTTACTTTTTTCCAATTTAATCATACTACTTCTCCATTTTTAATGTTTTTTTATTTACTTGTTTCCATTCTTTTTTCTTAAATTAATAAATTACTTTCTGTTATGATAATGTGGTTAGGTTAATCACATTCATGCTAGTCACGTGCGCATAAATTAAAATGGCGTCAAACCACAAACCCATGAGGTTCTGCAGCTGGAATTTGTCTTCCATTGTTCTCTGTCCTTGCTTCTTTTTAAAGCCACATGTCCAGTAGTGATGGGCGATATGGCCAATTTTCTTAATTTTCGATAACGATCGATAATGGACTTTTTCAGGAAATATCGATTATTAACGATACGATAACCACACCTTCATTTTGGGGTGTGTCAAGGGTGTAGCTAATGATTTTAGCACAGATATAACTCAGTCTACTGGACATCAGAGAAGATCATTTCCTAATCATTTCCATGCTCTTGAGCTTGGTTTTCTTCCTATTGAAGTAGGCTGAGCTAACAACTGGTCAGTTGCTTCTTTCTTGCAGTTCAACAGTACAATTACTTATTAAAATTAGTTATTTAACCTTAATAAATGGGCGTGGTCAATAGATCGATGAAAATTGCATAAAATTTTCGATAATGATTCAAATCGATTCCGTAAAATATCGTTTATATCGATAAAGAATCGATATATCGCCCATCACTAATGTCCAGTCCTTGGCCCAAGCTCAAAGGAATGATGTAAAAGCCAACTCGAGCGGTTCCCTGGTTTAAAAGATTTCTGTGTGGATAGAAGAAAGATGAAAGAAAGAAGAAAAAGTCTGAAGAATTTTGCAGAAATTTGAATTTAGGCCTATTCTCCAGAAATGCTTCCGCTACACTAGACTCCACTTTAAAGGTACCAGGAGAATCGCTCAGTGAAGGAGAGCCCGTCCAAGTCATTTATAAGGCTGTACAACGTAAGATAAAAGAGTTATAAGTGTTTGAAATCATAAAAACGGCTGCCATCTTGAAAAATCAACCTCAATCCTACAAAGTAGTAGGATTGAAAAAATTAAAGAAACTAGAGGGTACTTGAAAAACTGGTCTGGTAAAAAAATCATACACCACTGCATAAAGATAAAGGCTTCAAAGTGTTATCATGTAGCAGACTAGTCTCGCTAGCCAGACCATTCCCCAGCCTACAGTTATTGGGATGGACTGTAGGCTGGGGAGTGGTCTGGCTATTGAGACTAGTAGCAGACCAGTTTGCAAGTGCCCTCTAGTTTCTTTACTTTTTGTTTAAATTCAATCCTACTACTTTTCTTCTTTTCCATTGTTGAAAAATATAATACATGTAGCTTTCTATTGATATTGCTAGATCATCTAAACTAGCTCTAGAAAGTGAGTTTTTCTTTGATTCACTCCATTCTGCCATGCTCCACTATGCCATCTTGCTACCCAAAATGGCCATGAAATTAAATGTGGGTGTAAAAGGTGAATATGATTAAAAGGCGTTAGTGAAAAAGGACTATACTCTTCATGCAGTGGTGTAGGATTTTTTTACCAGACCAGTTTGAAGTACCCTCTAGTTTCTTTACTTTTTGTCTAAATTTAATCCTACTACTTTTCCTTTTTCCATGTTTTTTATTTCCTTGTTTCAATTCCTTTTTCTTAAATTAATAAATTAAAATACATTTCGTTATGATTATGTGGTTAGGTTAATTATATTCGTGCTGATCATGTGTGCATGAATTAAGATGGCGTCAAACCACAAACCCACACTGTGTCTGTTGCTGGATTTTGTCTTCCATTTTGTTCTTTGTCCTGGCTCCTTTTTTGAAGAGACATTTTTAGTCCTTGACCCAAGTCCAAAAGAGTGATGTGTAAGCGAACTCCAGCGGTTCTCTGGTTTAAAAGATTTCCGTGTTGATAGTAGAAGATGAAAGAAAGAAAAAAGAAAAAGTCTGAAGGATTTTGCTGAAATTTGAATTTGGGCCTATTCTTTAGAAATGCACTTGCTAATTTACAGTCCACTTTAAAGGTACCAAGAGAATTGCTCATTGAAGGAGAGCTTATCTAAGCCATTTTTAAGGCTTTACAATGTAAGATAAAACAGTTATAAGAGTTTTAAAATTATAAATTTTGCCGCCATCTCGAAAAACCAACCTCAATCCTACAAGTACATATAGGCTACCACCTATATATTAATAATTGTTAACTAGACGAATGTAAAACATTGAGGGGCAAATGGTATAACATTTTGACTACTGTGTTTATGTTATTATTCAATTTAATGAAAAATGCAATGTTTGAATTAGTGATTATAATAATAGTACGTGAAAAGTTATCATTAGTGGGTTGGTGTTAGTGACAATTGCACGAGTCATACATTACTAACTAAGGCAGTTCCAATAAAATTACTTGGTTTACGGATCCGACCGACTCCAATTTTTGAAAAATCAAATAAATTTAAATTTTCTAATGCGCATGCGCAGTACCACGTGGTGGGTGTGGCTAGATTCAAAATGGCGCTAAATGTATTTGTTACTGTTAAAAGAGCAACCTCCTCTATCTTACCTTCCACTGTATGTCAAACCTCTGTGGCATCTACTTTTTGGGACTTGTTAGAGCAGCCATTCATGTTAAGTAAGCCTACACTCACAGAAGTTGCTAGAGTATTTTGATAGTTTGTTTTTAAAAGTGTGGTTAACTAACAATTATTAAAGTTAATTAATGAGTAGTTAATTAATTTTAATGTTTATAATTTAATTTATTCCGACTGACCTGCTCTATTTTAGAGAAAAAAAATCCGTAAAACAAGTAATTTAGTTGGAACTGCCTAAGTATGAATAAATGACAAGTTATCATAGTGCATCAGGCACTAATTTTCCCCTGTAGTTTTATAGGGACAGAATAGTGCAGCAAGCACCAATTCTTCTCTACAACACTATAAGAAAAAAATTAGTGCCTCTGCATTATTTTGCCCCCCCCATTCATATACTTTTAATTGGAATAAAACAGTGCAGCAGGAACTAATTCTTCCCTTTAGTATTGGAGGGACAAAATAGTGCAGCAAGCACTAATTTTTGCCATTAGTATTGTAGGAATAAAGTAGTGCTCGGCACTAATTTCTACCTACATGTACATAGACACATGTACATGTAGGTCGAATTGTATAGGGTGTATAATAGTGCCTAGTCCGTATGAAGGAAACAGTGCATTTTAACACTATTTTCTCTCTCAATAATTATGGATTTTTTTCATTTAATGATATCTTATAAACATCCCCTTTAGTCTTTGCTTATGCGGCCTGGAGATTCCTTGCTCTTATGTTACTTCTTGCTTTCAGAGTTTCCCACTCACTTTCCATCACTCTTGGTTTAATTCATTGACACTCCTTTTATGCCTATTAAAAAGAAGTATAACTAGCATAAAAAGAACTTTCTACAGGTCTAGTCTCACTATCAGTTGCTTCTCCTAGTGATAATAATTACAGTTACTCACTGCTAGCATAAAAGAATTCACTTTTACGTGTAGCTGTTCCTCTTCCTACAGCTTTAGTGTCACCACTAGTTGCTTCTCCTAGTAGCAATAGATATACACTTACTCACTGTTAACATAAAAGAACTCACTATTACATGCATCTGTTCCTCTTCCTACAGCTCTAGTCTCACCATCATTTGGTCCTCCTAGTAAATAACAATAATTACGCTTACTGCTAGCATAAAAGAACTCACTATTACGTCTAGCTGTTTCTCATCCTATAGCTCTACTCTCACCACCAGCTGCTTCTCCTAGTAACAGTAAATACAATTACTCACTGCTATCATAAAAGTACTCACTATTACTTGTAGCTGTTCCTCTTCCTATAACTTTAGTCTCACCACCAGTTGCTTCTCCTAGTAACAATAATTACACTTACTCACTGCTTGATCTACACATACTTGCAGTTGTTCCAGTCTTATTGGTTCTTGTTTTGTTTGCTTTTTCTACAGTAAATATTAAAAATAATAAACTTCATGTTATAACTAACCATTCCTGGCTTGTTGCTTTTCTAATTTTCTCCTTTTCCTTTCCTCCTCACGTGCCTGCATGTTTCAACTCCAAATTCTTCCGTCTCTCCTCCTTCTGTTCCATATGTCGTACACATTTATTGCTTGTAATTACTCTGTCCGATTCTATTTGAAGATGGGCAGGTTAATTTTGTGGAGAAGGGAGTTGTAGAAATCTACTGAATGAGCTTCTGTATGATGCACTTTTGCATCTCTGAATTTTATCATCAGAGTGATCTGAAGGACTTTTAGAATAAATCTTACCATTGAATTCTAAATATAAATTATAATGTTTATCAGTTTTAATATCAAATTTATTTTCCCATCTCTTTTCTTCTTCTGAAAACTGTACAGGTTCTTCAAGAAGATTTTCTACTGAAGGAGATGAAGAAAAAGGTAGAGAATAAACATCCTGAGGCACAGGAGAACTATGCATGGCATGGTCTCTCAGAATATAAAGTGGACTATAGAAACCATGCAGTAAACTCCTCTGTCGGTCTGGTATGCATAATTGGAAGACCAATTGCTTTTCTATTAAATGGATGAACTCCCACAGTTTTAAATGCATGGACTATATTTAAAGTTGTGATGGACTTCATCCAAGCTTTTGAAAAGATACCACCCAATATATTTATGATCTTGTATGGCTTTTCCTGTTGAAATTTAAGATATTCTTTGTGCCACTGGATTATGAGAGGGCCAAATATTCCTTTATCAAGTGGTTGCGTCAAATGTGTGGTATTTGGAGGGAAAGTAAACAGTATCACATCATGCTTTCTTGCTAAACGAATGGTTTTTTGAGAATAATGAGAAGAGTGATCATCTAACTACAAACTAAGTGATCTTGCTGGAACTGCATATCGCAGAAAGTGTTTCATAAATCAGTGAAAAAAGAGTGTGTGATCCATCAACCCTTTCTGAGAAAGTCCATGGAATGATCCAGGAACTTCATTATTTGTCTGCTCAGTCCTCAAACTTTCAGTATTCCAAATGATCATTGGTGGGATCATAACTCCTCCAGCATTAAAACATCCTACTACAGTCACTTGCTCTTTTTTCCGCATGTAACAACACTTGGACTTTTTTCACCCCTTTTTGAAGCTATTTTCTCTTGGACATCTCTTGTAGATTTGAGAGCAGCAACTCTTCACAGAGTGCCACAATATTTACTTATTATTAAATGTCACAGCTCGCAAGAATTTTTCAAAATATTTTACTTAGAGACTAGCTGAATAACAAAGAACTCTCTTTCAAATAAGGCCAACTGGCTTTATATATGCACAAATTATTAATAATTAGTTAATTAATTAATATACATTAATGGTAATAATCCAGTTTCTATACAGTTCCATGACATTAATGACATTTATTTATAAACACGTGACTATATTATGACGTCATTAGTGCAGTGGTGTTGTTGTAGTAAGCAGCACAGTAATGCTGCTCTTAAACTTTGAGAAAGAAGTCCAGAAGGCATTTCAGGCTACTTGCTGCTTTTATTTGGTCCTCTTTCTTCCTCTTTTGTTTTTGTCTTAAACAGAGCTCTTTGGTCATATGACTGCTTGTCCTACACTTGGTTCGAGCAATCTGATTGGGACACCAAAATCTCTGGCATGAAGCACACATTTTAGATAGCAGTGTCTCCAGACCCTTCCTCCACTGGTAGCGAAGGGGCGGGGCGAGACCAATTTGCAGCAAACAATCAGCAAGATAAGACTAAAATGCTGTCCAAAGACTTCTCTAGCAAGAAGAAAGGTTAGGAAAGCAGATATAGAATCTTTTTTCTTCATATAAAGGACACTGATAAAGTTGAATGCAAGTCAGAAAGCTGCGTGCATGCACTGTAGCTACCTGCATGTATCATGAGATCTATTCTAGGTGTTGCTTCTTCTCTACTACATGTAGGTTAACAAAGCAGATGTAAAATTTTTTTCAAATATGATTTGTTCAGTGACTGCTTTTAACTATAAGCAAGATAACTTTAATTTCATGTTGCAGAGATTCTTAAGTGATGAAGAAAATTTAAGGCAACAAGATCTACATGTTGCTTTGCTGGCTCATACATGTAAATCATACTGCACATAATCTATAGCTTGCTTAGGCCTGCCCCTTTAATGTTTTACATTCTTCTAGTTATGTGTAAGTTTGATTGTAGATGCACCTTTCACTGTGAGAGGTGAGCCATTGGCAATAGCTAAATGGGATAGCATAGCCTTTAGTGATGGAGCATCCTGGGGCTTGCATAATTGTAGGATTTTATACCAAGTGGATGAATTCAGCAAAGTAACTGCTGTCCCAGTATCAACAAGGAAACAATATAGTTGATCAAAAGTTTTGAATGAAACATAAAAAGTTAGTCTTTTCCCCCACCCCTTCACTGGAGGAGGAAGGGTCTGGACTCTGGAGACACTCGAAGCTTTTCTTGCACACAATGGAATGTACATGTAATTAGTGTAGCTTGATCATTTGACCGGATACACTCATGTGTTAATTTCACATGGTAGACACACCATCAAAACATGGCTACCAGAATTATTAAGAAGGAATCATAGCTAAAAACTCATTTTGTATCATTAATATGTTTTGTTTTTCTTCATTCTTTTCTACTTATTAAATTCATTTTGTTATTAATCTAAAACAACATGTTTAACAATGCAAAATATTTTAAAATTGTATAATGCAAAAAAGCCATGGCTATTAGAAGCATCATTTGCAGATGAGGTAGAAGTAGTTCCCCAACTTCCATAAAAGTGTGTACCCCTATAGCACTGCACATAATTATTAGACAACAATCATAAGTTAAGTGAACTGACCATTTCTTAACTTGTTGCTTATCAAAAGGCAAACTCAGTAGCTTTAATCAGTGATCAGGGGACTAAGGAAGAGTTTTTCTGTTCCAGAACTGATTCTGCAGAGGATATATGGCAGTACTGAGTCTTGGTAGTGATTGACATTAATTTACCATGTTGCTGTGACACCCTCAGCCAATGAGTTCGGATTCTTCTGTTTAACTGTGAGGACCACTTGTTGGTCTGTAATAGAATTGAATAACTGAGTAAGGGAAAGCTGTTTGTGTGCTGCAGTACTGAGATGTGGGTAAACCTTCTTAAACCAACCCCCCATAGCATACTTTTTCGCAACTTTCTGTTAGCCTCGTAGTGCGAGTGGAGAAGTCGGCAAAGTATAATTCTCTTTTGCCCTTTGGCTCGAAATGTACCTTTAGTGCTAAGACTGCAGCACCAAGTGATGCTTTATCGGTGTCAGAGAGTTAGTGAAAGATGGTTTGAGCTCTGTTAGTGAACCATGCCCTGAGAAATTTTAATTTATTGCTGACGAATTTGTGTTCGTGCAGTTGTTGAAATGTAACAACCACTGTTCTCAGTTGGCCTCTCCCGAATATGCATCTGGCACTATGATGGGCTTAGAAGCCATGGTGATCAGAGATGGTTGCCTGAGAGTTAGAGTAAAAAAAGGAAAGAAAACAGGATTTAATATAGCAGCTAACCATATTTATGGCCAGAAACAAAGAATTGTTATTTGGCTAGAAGGCTTAGAGAAAGAGACTTGATCTGATTCTACCCACTGCGCTGATTGTTATACCAACTGGACTGACTTTATTATACCAACCAAAATTATAGTAGTGAAAGAGAGAGAGGGAGAGAAGTCATATACCAAAGAACAATAAAGATAATTACTGTACTTGCCCCAATTAATGCACCCTCTTAATTATTGCACCTTTACATGGCTTCCGCAAAAGAAATTTTCTATTGAGTGTACCTCCTGGTCAAGATAATTATTAATCAGGTAAACGTTATAACACCCCCGCTAGGGATACATCACATTAGTATGACCGAGCCCGAGGGCGAGGTCATACAAATTCGATGTATTCCACAGCGGAGGTGTTATCAACATATTTGTGTAATAATGAGTGGGCGTATCAAAGGTGCGCCAATGCGCATGCTCAGTAGCACTACACCTCGTGGTAAAATGAAAGCAATGGAGGACAGGAGGCTCAGAAAAAGTTTTTTTATCAACAGAGTTAGGCGTTAGGCTTTAGGTTGACATATCTAATCTTTTTTCAGGCTATAATATCTGGAAGAGTATAATCTAGGTCAGGAACAAAGAGCCTGCGCTTGCTAATGGGCCCATGCATCGATCTTACCTTCCCCGGCCATCTTATTTAGCCATTGAGGTTAAGACAACCATTGATTTAAACACGGAAGGAGAGCAGTGAACTCTACCTGCATGAAATATTGATCTGTGCCTCAATCTAAAGTCATCTGGACTCCGGAGACTCCCTATTCCCCGGCTTTGTACCTGTCGGTCCCCCCTGTGGGCTCCGAGGCCAATGCCCAGACTTCATTGATAGTTGAATTCCAGCTTATTTAGGAGCTGTCCAATATGTTGCTTTGTATATTTTATTTTATAAAAATTTTTCTGTCAAAACCACAGGGATACAAATAAAACCACAGGGATGCATCACATTTGTAGCATAGGTGGTGCCTTTGATACGCCCACTCACTATTATACAAGTAAACGCTATAACACCCCCGCTAGGGATACATTGCATTTGTATGACTGAGCCCTCAGGCCGCAGGCCCGAGGGCGAGGTCATACAAATGCAATGTATCCCGCAGCGGGGGTGTTATCAACATATTTGTGTAGTAGTGAGTGGGCGTATCAAAGGCGCGCGCCAATGCGCATGCTCAGTAGCACCAAACCTCGTGGTAAAATGGTAGCAATGGAGGACAGGAGGCTCACAAAAAGGTACTTTTACCAACTGATTCAGGCTTTAGGTTGACATAATCTTACTATTTTCAGGCTATAATGTCTGGAAGAGGTCTAGAACAGAGATCCTGCGCTTGCTGACCGGCCATGTATCGATCTTACCTTCCCCGGCCATCTATATTTATTATTGAGGCTTAGTCAACCATTGATTTCAACGCGGAAGGAAAGCAGTGAAACTCTACCTGCATGGATTATTGGTCTGTGAATCGATCTAAAGTTTTCTGCACTCCGGAGACTCACAATTGTTCCGACTTTGTACATACCCGCTGTCCGTTCCCGCAGGCCACTGGACCGTCCTAGGCCAGACTTTATTGCAAGCTTTATTGACAGTTGACTTTCAGCTTATAATACCTGTACAATAATGTTGTTTCTTATATTTTATTTTAAGAGATTTTTGCTGTCAACCCACAGGGATACAAATAAAACCGCAGGGAGTGTTACAAATGAGAGCTGTGTTACATCACATTTGTAACCACAGGCGGTGCCTTTGATACGCCCACTCACTATTATACAAAGGTGCATTGTAATTAGAAAGTCTCATTGTTTACAGGTACATTGCCTACTTTGCTATGCACAATCACCTCCTGGAACATTTCATAATTGTTCCTATCTAAACAATTCACCACTGGAGGCATGTAATTATTTATTAAGAGGTGCATGAATTGGGGTGAGTACTATTGTCTAATCACAAGGGTCTATCCCCTACTCTAGTTAATACTTTCGAATAGTTAACCATTATTAACATTTATTCCACAAATAAAAGGCTCATCAGGATAGACTCTTTGTATGAACAGATTTATTATTCCAAAGTTACAGTATGAAACACTGTTAAACTTGATCTGGGCATAAACTTAAAGTAGTACTAGTAATAAATGTCTAAGAACAATGATTATCCATCATCTTTCAAAAAAAAGCCTTCAGCCACTCTCTCATCAAGTGGTTTCTCTTGACATAAATATGGGCACTTAATTGTGACTATGCCTTTTCCAGAACATTGGCACTGTGACGTGAAGCGCCTATAAGTGTATGGATAGATGACCAATGCACTGTTACAAATTACAAAATTTCTGTACCTACTTCTCTTCATTAACTTTTATTCTGCAATGGCAGGAGTTTCATGTTTATAACCCCAGGATGTGGAAATACTTTTGAAGCAATATTTTCAGGGTAGCAGATGAAAAGCATTAGTTATAACCTCTGTAGCTGAATGAGAAGTAGAATAGGAAAGAGGAAGGAAAGAGCAGCTTGTTCAGTGGGAAGATTGATCCCTAAACTACCGGAGTGGATAGGAAGAGAAATAAGAGTTTATCACTATTTGAACACTGCAGAAAGAGGATATCACCTGCTCTATTATCATAAAGTTCTGTGTGTCAGATAGGCCAAGATGGGAGTCTAAGTCTGATCCTGCTTTCATATCATATTGTTGACATCAAGTAAGTTTTACAGTTGAAAAAGAGCTACGGTATAGCTCCAAATTTTTGCGGTCTCAAATTTTTGTAAAAATGGTAACTTTTTCTTCTAAGCTATGTGGTAAAATTTTTTTGAAAACTGTAGTAGAGGAGTCGTGGCAATTATGAGTCACTTAACTAATGTAATGCATATCTCTCTAAAGAAGTAGTATATGTACAGTACTTCAAATTTTTTGTGTGTTACAACATATTATCATACTTTATTGTCATCAGAAAATTTTCCAGTTAGTACTATTAGCAATTTTAATAAAAATCAGACAAAGCTTCATACTGCATGCAGTATTTTTGAGACAAGGAGCACATTATAAGACAATTATGAGATACATGTAGCTTATAATTCTTTTTTTCACTAGTAATCTGACATCTTTTACTATATAATTAAAATTATTAAAAAAACAATGATGTATTTACAGAAAACCATTCAATTTGATCAGTTACTTTTGAGATTCTTTGCAGAAATAAGTGTCTGGTATACTCCATTTAGATTTAACAGTAGTACACTTCAGATCAAACCAAACATCACATTTATCGCAACTAATCCAAAGATTAGATGAATCATGATCTGATGAATAGGCTAAACCATACTTTGGGCATATTGTATCATCATCAGTTTCAGATAGAGTTATATTGTGTCAGACTGTGAATTACTTCCTACTTTAAATGGGTCAATAGTTTTTATATTTTTACTTTAACTTACCAGTTGCAATTGTGATCTTATGTTTCTCCTTAGATCTACTTCAATTCTCATTTCCTTTCTTCTTTCCCTCTCCTTTATCTTGCAATAGTTTTGCTTCTTCTAGTCTCTTTTTTCTTCCTTCTCTCTCTGCTTAGCCTCTCTTTTTTCTTCCTTTTCCCTTTGCCTTTGTTGCTTCTCCAATAATTTAGCCTCCTTTTCTTTTAACTTCTCTTCCTTTGCTTTTTGATGCTCCTTCTGTTTCTGCTCTTTTTCAAGTGCTTTCATTCTACGATTTTCTTCTTTTTCTAATTGCTTAGCTAGCTTCATCTCCTTTTCATCTCTTCGTCTTTTCTCATTTTCCTTTAACTCATCCAACATGTCAGTGATACAGCAACGTCTAGTCGTAACACCTTCCCTTTGTCTCTGCTTCTGTTGTTGTGGGACAGGAAGAACTAGTACTTGATGAAGGACATCAGAGGAAGCCACTTGCTGCTTATCAACCCGACTTGCAGAATTAGGCTTGGATGACATAGTTGTTGATGTCCCTGTAGTTGACAGTGCTATTTCGGGATGGTTAATTTTAAGCCATGCAGCATATCCCGGATCAGGAATATCAAAGCCCTCTTGAAATCTTTTTCCATACAGTTCCTCTTTCTCTATTGTAAAAACAGGACTATCAACTGAGCTGGCATCTGATGCATTGTCTGTGATTGAATCAGAACTGGGTACATTTGGCACAGTTTCGATGGTTTTTGACTCTCTTGCTACAAGTGCTTTGGATGGGGCCATTTGTCTGTCATCAACAGCACTAGGGTTATGTGGGAACAGTCCACATTTTCGAAAACCACTCATAATATTTAAAGTAGTAAAAGAGATAGGCCAAGCCTCAGCTACAAGTGCTGATAAAATGTCAGCTGTGACAACTCGTCCAGGATGCTTTGAAATGTAACTGGAACATGACTTTGAGAAATTTGTCTTAAATGATTTAAACACACCGGCATCCAGTGGTTGAAGAATATGCGTCATATGGGATGGCAAACATAGCATATGAATATTATTTGCCTTTGCAAATTTAATAGGGTCAATAGATATGTGAGTTGCATGTCCATCTTGAATCAATAACACTGGTCGTGTGGGAAGTATATTTGATACAAAAAACTTGAGCCGATCAAGAAATATATCTGAGTTAATCCGTGCCTTTTTGCTTAATTTTGGTGTAGGACATGGAATTGGGGCAGACTCACATGGTTTTTCAGGGACAAATGGTTCAAGAGGTATTCCCATTTGATTAGCCAGCTCCTGTTGTTCTTGCCTTCAAAGAAGAACCAGTTGTCGGTTATTTTGGGAATACTTGACAATCTGTCTTCTATGTCACTAGTTCGAAACAATGTATTAGGAAGGACTCCATTTTACAAGTATCTGGCACAGCTCTCTTCCTGGGATGCATCATTAAAGGCGGCAGAACATGTCCAGATGCTGATACACATGCAAGAACAGTGTGCAACTTTCCTCTTTCTGCTGAAGAAATGGAATATACTGTTTGCCTCCCAACTTGAGCAATGACTCTTCCAGGACGATGCACGACAGAGACTCCAGTCTCATCAGTATTATATATTTGGTTTGGCTTGGAGAATAGGTTTGGTCTGCCATAAAATGCTCCAACTTTTCCAAAGAGTTCACTGGCTACATCAGGAGAAGCTGAAACAACTCTATTATATGATAATGATAAAGGAGTACGAATGGTAAGTTCAGGATGGCGTCTTTGAAAACCTTTGAACCATGACCTCCCAGCAGATTCACCCGTAAATAGATGCTTGCGACCATTCTTCTCTACAATAGTGTAAGCAATACGCGTAACTGTTTCTCTATTGACACCATAACCCATATCAGCCATTGCTATCAAGTATTCTGCTACTTTGTCTTCTTTGTCTCTTGAAAGTACTGTGGGTGGTCCTGGCTTGCAATCAACAGAAACGGATCCATTAACCCTTTATCTTAAAGTCTCCACTGGAACATTATATGGTTGTGCAGCCTCTCTCAGTCCCTTCCCTTCTTCTGTTACACAGGAGACAGCAGCTTGCATTGAAATATCCAACCAAATTTATCTTTTAGAAGCCATCTAAAATGTGTGTTAATTAGTGAAGGTGGGTGGGCATTGTTTTTAATAGAATACATGCAACTCACTGATGCTAAATTCGGTATATACTCTATTGTATTATTAAAAGCAGACAGAAAGATAATGTGTGGGAAAGAAGCAATAAAAGCTCCTGTGGCTCAGTTTTGATAAAGCTTGGTCTTGGTTACATTATTAACACCCATGGTATGTTTACATATGCACAAGCACTAGCAACAGCTGCTTACCAAGCACTCTATAAGGAGTGAGAAAACAGTACTGCTCACAGTGAGGCTAGAGACACGTTTTACTATGTTTTTCACTAGTTCACGGCAGGGCAATGTGCTTAATTAATTTGCAGATTTAAAGGCGTGGTGATTAGTTTAATAATTAAAACTAAACAATTATTTTTTTGCTCAATATGATGCGGATTTGAAACCTTTTGCTTTTCAGCATTTAGAATCTTATGAAAGCATCTTATATTGAAAATTTTATAGAATTTTGTTGCATTGTCTCATAAAAGGTATTGTCTCATGTTACGCCCACATACTCTAATTTGTGATTGTGGCAGACACGGCCATCATAATTATTGGCTAGAATAAAAGATGGCTGCGTCGAGTCAGATCATGGAGTACTGGTAGCAGTCCTGTATCAGAGGATTCCATGTTTACCAGCAAGTATGGTCCCCTGCTGTAGGAGAAATTGTTTCTTGCGAGAGAGAAACAACAAACAGGCACGATCCCTTTTCTGTAAAGGTAGTCAAGTCCCCAATGACTGTTGGTCATCTTCCTCAAAAGATAAGCTGCACTTGTTTGATGTTTTTGTGAAAAGGAGGTCTGATATCATGTGAAGTAACTGGGAAGAGGCAATGCTCTAGAGATTTAGTTCAAGGTGGGCTGGAAGTGCCATGCACACTAATGTTTGAAGTAGTATTTCATTATTTGGTATCATTACTTGCAAGGGTCAAGAAACTAATTCTTCTTGTTGATAGCGAGAGCATGCAGTACTACACCACCTGAGCCATTAACCAACTTGTGTAACTCACCTAAGAAACAGAAATTAGAATCTGAAATAAAGAAGAGTGAAATCACTTCTATTGCTGATGATGAACAGCAAGGGCTATTTGCAAATAGAGTCAAACTACTTATGGAAGATAAATGTATCATTCAAAAAGGGGAACACTTAAATGATAATATGATTAATTTTGCACAGAAAATGCTAAAGTTGCAGTTTCCTGAAACTGATAGGCTATTTAGTACCCTAATTCCCAAGCAATTTAAGTTAGATACTTCAAACACCATCATTCAAATCCTTCACACACAAGGAAATTTTTGGGTTGTGGTCTCAAATATTAATTGTGAAGTAGGAAAGGCTTATGTTTATGACACAGTATTTTGTGCTATTGGTGATGAAACAAAGGAGCTGATTGATGTCATGTTTGATGGTGCAGTTGATTTGAGCATCTTTCATGATTATAAACCAGTAAATGGGGAGTAGAGACTGTGGAGTATTCTGTATTGGTATAGCTACCTACTTATTGTATAATTGCTGTTATGTCAATATCAAATTTACACAGTCATTGCTCAGATCACATTTAATTACATGTTTTGAAAATTTTTATTTGACTCCATTTCCTTAATTAATTATTTGCTATTCACATACATGCATAATTAATTAATATAATCATTATGATAATCTAAAGTGTTAATTGATCATTTATAGTTAAGTTACATTCTAATAGCATCAATGATTCCTGTAACTTTGAAGCCATTTATAATGATGTCTGGCTTGGTCTTTAAGTAATCATGCAGTTCAATTATCCATTTTGTGCCAATTGGCTTCATAATGCTTAATCTGAGAGCAACAGGTGTAACTTCATCTTGGCCATCTATTTGCTTTGTCACTTTATAAGCATACCACTCATGGAATTTACCTTTAAAAAAATTGGTAACATAACATAAAATATGTTGTTCTGCTCCAGTAATGAGTCTAATGACAATACTGTCTCTGTATTCTACCCTTTAAAAGCATCGAATATACATTGTAGCTAACACTGGGTGGTTTGCGGGCAAACCTACTGTAGTTCTTTCCTTTTGTCTTGAAAATAAGGAATGATTATTTTTGTAATATAATCTATAGTGGTACTCTAATTGCACTGTTACTGTGATATGCCAGTTTCCAGGGAAATCAATGCTTGGCAGACTTTTTGTCGTTTTTCCTTGATACACCAGCTGAACTGGCAAAAAGTCACTTAACATTAATTCTCCAAACACAGCAGTAATTTGCCTTTTATCCGTATTACCATCAACTTCAATCCTTCTGGAGCCTCGAATATCCATAGTCCACCGTGATATAGGGACATGTAGTTCAACCCGGTCTGATCCCAATTTATAATCAAACTATGAGGTATTTCCTCCATTTCAACTACAACTTTAACATCCATTAAATATTGTTGTTTCAATTCATCCAAACGCACAACAGTAATGCTTGATTTAGTCGTTGCTTTTCTTTTAACGAAATTCATTTTCAGAAAATACTTAGCCCAACTTTTCTGCAATACAACTGAACCTCCATTGCACTGCATTAATGCAGGCTCTCTCTATGCTGTAATGTACCTGTACCAGCAGCAATCAGTACAGCAGTATTGATTACTTCTCCTCTGTCCCTTACTGCGGACACACATCGTCTCAAATCTTCAGCTATTGATTCTGGCAATATTGGCGGACATCCTCTCTTATTATCCTCCAACTCCTGTATCTGACTACTACTGGAACCTTGTTTTGCCTTCTTAATAATTGTAATTTTGCAATCATTAACAGTTGAGCATTTTTATTCAGTAATTTATCTATGAAACATCATATAGCAGCAGATGTTCCATGTTGAATAGCATAATTACCTATTTGTGCTTTCTCTCTTGGTGTGTATTTTTTGTACTGCTTCTGTTACCTTGTTGTTTGGCAGCTGTAATTATGGATGGTGAAATAACCTTTGATAGTGGACCCATAGGTGAAGGTAAAGTGGCTTCTTTGGACACTGAGGAGAGATCTTTTGATTGTACAGGCTTTAAAAAGTGATCAAGAGCCATTTTCATACATGTGTGCGTAATAACCAAACCTCCCAATAAGGGATAAAAATTTTGTCAATTTAATTTTCGTGATTTTAATAAATTATGAAAATCACGAAATTTCAGATCATGAAAATTTGGAGCTATATGGTATTACTGTGGAACAACCAAATTATTGTACCTACATGTACCAGTATGCAAAATGAAGTACTAGAAATGATACATGTATGTTAATGTCACCATTGCATTCAGAGGTGTTGATTAAGAGTTAAGAGAACAGTATGGTGGCCTGGTTCATCAAAGAAGATTGCAAGTAGAGTAAAAAGATTTGGAGAACGTTAAGAAAGTTTATTTGTAACTTGGAACCTTTAATGCCAACAAAGTGACCATAGTACCCATGGCAATTGGTTGGTACTGAACTTTCTTGTTCAATGGGAGGCAATGCCTCATAGTTGTGAATTACTTTTCTTGTTATCCAGAAATAGTTTGACTTACAAATACCCCTAGTCAAGGAGTTTTTGAAGTGTCATGTCTTTGGATACTGGAAAGATTTTGGAGTGACAATGGTCCTTAGTATAGTTCTCAGGAGTTTGTTGATTTTGCTTTCTTAATTTGAGTCTTTGGCTCCCACCAACTCCACCATTGGGTCTCAGAACAGGTTGGTACAGGTTTATTGCAAAATCACCTCTAAGCAAGCCTTGCCGTTGGACTCACAAAAATAATGAGACCCACAGCTGTGAAAACTTCTCAGCAACAGAAACTTTAAATTGCTGTCCTAGTCTATTTAAAGTATGAGAAAAAACAGCCATTGTCAATTAGTCTTGGGTGCAAGAACTTCACTGTATCTATTGCTGCATTAGTCACACTGGCTTGGTCTCTCATATTAGCAATTAATCTGTTCAATTGAATGCTGAAGGATATTATGCATGCTAGTTCTTCCCCAGTCAGGTTTTTACGAAGACTCTTTAAGCTTCTGTTTTCTTTTCATGTTTTCAACGAACTTTATAACAAAAGCGACTACATTTGTAGTGTCATCAATGATCATAGACCCAGACTGATCTGGAATTTCCTTTTTAATTTCGTTTATTTTGTTGCTATAAATAAAGGGATATACTAACTTAAATGCTGACAACCAGTGAGACTAAGAGTGTTCTCTTCTTGGAGATCCCTCAAAGGATTAACTTGTGCTAAAGGAATTTTTGCTTTAACAAAAGGCTAGACAGCTGGTATTCGATGCATACGCAATGTATAAACTGACTCAGACAGCATTTCACTACTAGGATGATTGCTTTCGTCATGCTTCTATAATGATTTAGCTATTGATCTTTGTTTAGCTTTGCGTGTCGTGTGTTTCTGTGAATTAATATGTAGCTTCATAATAGACATCTCTAGCTGAGAATATATTACGTCACTACAGTTAATATGGCAGCAGGTGTGGTAGAGAATGAAATAAATTGCATCAACAGTAAGTTTTTATGGTCAACAAATGAGCAAAAGTACAATGCAAGCTATAGTAAAGAATCTGCTTTACATTGCACCAAATCTGTTCATGAGATGCTTGGTAGGTCCCATTCCTTCTTCCAACCAACTTTTGTAGCTTGAAAGAGTTCCAGACCAGTCAAACATATCACTTGTATAATTTACTCTACTTCACATAGCCTAGGCATTATACAAATCATTTAACAAAATCAGTTATCCATTGGCCATCCTTAATTAGAGCAACCTCCTCTTCCTTCATAGAAGACATTTTGCAAGGATGCTTTATGAATCTCCGCCCATGGCCAGCCCATACAATTATGATGATGTGATGCCAAGATGAAGTTCTATGTTGTAAGTTGTCCCAAAAAAATAAATTCACCCTGCACATTATCTCTCATCTTGAGATCAAAGGCCTGAAGCCACACTAGTCAGGTAGAGCTAAGGTGAAGCCTGACTAAAGCCACCCACTCCCCTGGTTGGCAGAATGCAGTACAAATGAATGGAAGAAAAACATAAAAAAGCAATTGAGCAGTTGTTCTTACATCTATGCTTGAAGTTAGAGCTGCTACTTCTGCTATAGACACTAAGGAACCAGTGAAGAACCTCTTTACTGCTATAAACAAGTTCTTCTTTCTTATTTTTGGAAATTTTCCTCCATCTCCATTCCTAGTTTCCTTCGATGTAGCTTTCTGCCAACCAAGGGGTGTGGTACTTGTTTGGGTGAAGATTTCTACGCCTACATTTAATGGACCTTATGCAACGAACGGTCTAATTAATGCGCACCTCTCAACTGGATGAAAATGGCGGATTTTCTGCACTACAATACTGCTGAGAATTCAAGCTCGTCATCAGTGGAGGACAGCTGTTGCATTGACTTTGTTTTGCTGCTATCTTTGCTCTATATTTTGTGGACTATCTCTCTCTATTTTTATATTGTTATTTTTCTTTTTAATTGATCATTTTTTCTACGTTTGAATTTTGATACCTGTCTGTTTGTGTGTGTGTCAATCGGAAGAAATAGCCTGCTGTTCTTTCCCCTCGGGAGCAATTGACCCAGGAGAAGGAAGACTTACTCCTCAGACATTTTGCTACAAGTAGCTACTAACTTGAAAGGTGTTCAAGGTACGCAACAGCAGTAGGCTGCCGTTTGGGTGGGGCTGGGCTTTGGATGCAAGTGCTATAGTGATGTAGCTTGTATAGTCACATGTAAGTTGATCATTCATGCATAAATAGCTTTAAATATTGTTTTCCTATAGATGGTTTATATCTGCCTTGTTGAAGGCTGCACCAACTGCTCAAATAATCCAGATTGCTACTATTTATTATGGCACAGGCCACCTCAAAATGATGAAGTACTATATCGTTTTTTAAAATACATGAAAAACCAGCTGCACACTTAAGAATTTGCAGCGAATGCATGAGTAAAGTACCAGCACCTAAACATAGAAAGCCACCTTCCAGTAGAGGAGAAATCAGTCATAAGAGAGTAAGACTGACGAGGGAAGAGATGCGCCAAGCAGTAGCTCATGACCATACATATGCATTGAGTCCTCCAAGCTCCACTTCATCATTCTTAAGTTCAGTTCAAACGAGGGATGGACCTGCATTAGCACCATCAGGAGCAGCACATACATCTAGTGTGGCATCATTTTGTATTGAAGCATTTATGGATGACGATAGTGCCATTCATTTTTACATTTTGTTCCCAACGTATGCTCACTTAATGATATGCTACAATTTTCCTGGAGATGCAGTCCACCATATCATATACCCAGGCTCATCAGTTGATCCATCAGCAAAAACAAGAATGAAAAGTCAACAAGCAATTTCTCCACAACACGAATTCTTCTTAACACTCTGCCGTCTGATGTGTGGCTTGATGGAACAGGATTTGGCATGTAGATTTCAAATATCTCAGTCTACTGTTTCTAGAATTTTTACAGCATGGGTGAACTTTCTCTATTATAAGTTTAAAGAGATTCCAATTTGGCCAATACAAACACAAGTTCAATCATTGATACCTGAGCAGTTTAAATTACATTACTCTTCCACACATATCATAATCGACGCAACAGAGGTGTTTATCCAGACACCTAGCGATCCTCATGCTCAACAACTAACATTCAGCTCATATAAAAATCACAACACAGCTAAAGCTCTAGCCGGTATTACCCCATCTGGTGCGTTTTCATTTATCACTCCACTATATGGCGGATCTATTTCTGATTGTAAATTGTTTCTCAATTCTGGTCTGCTAGAGATACTTGAAGAAGGTGATGCTGTCATGGCTGACAAGGGATTCAACATTGCTGATGTACTCCAAAGGAAGGGAATAACATTAAACATCCCTCCAAGAAAGCACGCTGATCAATTAGGTGATAGAGAGCTCATTGAGACATGCAGGATAGCATCACTACGCATACATATTGAAAGAGCATTTAGTAGAGTAAAGGTTTTAAAAATATTAAATAACATACCTAACAACATGGCAGGATTAGCCTCGGAAATCTTCTTTGTATGTGCAATATTAACTAATTTTCAACCTCCACTCTGTATGAGGAACAGTCAATAACTATTAACTAAAAGTGTATCTAAAAGCCAGTAACTAACTATATTACCTTATTAGTTATTACCTTAATACCTTTCTCTTTCATCTCCTATCCTCCTTAGATCCTCTCTCCTCCCCTTTCCCATTAATATTTACCTTGTATTCTAAATAACTTATAACAAATTATGATCATGTGACTACATAGGATCTAGACTACTATAGTTAATTATTGTTTGAGGCTCAACATGATGCGCATTACTACAGACTGGAGGCATGTAATGATAAATGTCTAAATACTAAAATAATACTAAATACTAAAATACTCCTATTGTAATAATTTTTATTAATTATTTTTAGGGGAGATAAGTTCCGTTTAGCATATGCTCAACTTGGGGATATCAGGAGTTTACTACCATCAGATCTCAATATTATGGCCCTTACAGCAACTTCAACTGGTACTACATTTATGACTGTATGTCAACGTTTGTCGATGAATAATCCAGCATTAATTGGTTGCCCACCAAATCGATTTAATATTATGTATGCAGTTGAATCTCTCATCGATGTTCAAACCTTTTGTTCACAAATTGCTACAGAAGTAAAGTTACTTGGATTACAGTATCCTAAAACAGTAATATTTATTCAAAGCTATTCTGACTGTGCTTTGCTATATCATACACTTCGTATACATTTGGGAGGAAGCATCACATATCCACCTGACTACCCTCGGTTGCAACAGTTCTTGTTCATGGATATGTACACTCGAGCAACAACTATAAAGAAAAAAGAACAGGTACTGGCAGCATTTTGCAATCCTAATTAGACTCTCTGCATAGTGCTTGCTACCACAGCCTTTGGAATGGGTGTTGACTGTTCTGACATTCGTGTCGTAATTCATTGGGGCCCTCCCTCTTCTTTGGAACAGTACGTACAAGAGACTGGTAGAGCTGGACGTGACGGTCAACCCTCCAAAGCAATTTTATATTATGGGAAGCCAGGTAGACATGTTAGTCAAGATGTGAAGGACTACGCAATGGAAAAGAACAAGTGTAGAAGAGATATGCTAATGAAGAACTTTTTGTTTTGTGATTCTGAGTGTGTTTCTGAAGATAAATTAAATTGTCGTGATGTGTGTAGCACTTCATAATTAAAAAAAAATACATGTAAATTGTACTTTAGAGAAAATAATAAATAGGGAGGAATAGTGTAGCATAATTACAGAACACATGGTACAATTCTTTCAATAATCCAATCCTGAATATTTTCATTGTTTACAGATCCAAGTAATGGTTGAGAATTTGACCTAGAAAAGAAGCCATGCCTTCTTCCTGGAATGACGTCGAAGATATGTTTCTCTCTGAGGGCATCCAGTAACATATTCAAATCTTTTGTGTGTGAAGGTTTTCGATGAATATCAGATGCTGAGTGTATACTCAATTCATCACGGAATGTTTGGCAAATGTTTACAACACCAATAGCCCTGGCTGCTCGAGTAATACTAGAAGGTTGAACATTAGACTCCATTCTTGATATAATTGACTTCAGTCGCCTATTCAAGTGTTCCAAATAAAGATCACACGGCATGTTGCATCCTTCTCTCCCCTTTGTGTTAATGAAATGGCTAGTGGCCACCTGAGCTGCTATTCTCTCGGAACTAAGAAAATGATAGTTTATTAAAAGTAGAACTGCCTCTTTAGCATAATTTTGGTGGTTAGTTACACAAAATATAACCATTAAATATTTCCAAATCCTCAGCACTCTGTCTCCATCTCCTTCTTTCACAGCATCATAAAAATTTAACCAGATCAAGCCAAGAGTCATTACTTCATTTGCATAGCTGCATACTAAATCATCTGGTTCATTACCTAATAATAACACATAATACATGTACAATGTACATAAAAGGGCATTGCTTTTGGTTAAATGATTGCACTTACTTGCAGAGGTTGGGGCCAACTTGATATGACTATCTATAATCTCAGTGACAACATCTTCTAGCTTCATTCCTTCAGAGTAGACTTTTTCAGCTGCACAAACAATGAGTGCAACAAGAACTAGTTCCAAGAAATCCTCAGTTGCCTGCACGTTATCTTTTGGATCAGCAGGTACTGACGATCGATTTAGAAGGTTTTTTATCTGAAAAAGTTCCCTTGTCAGTTGCTGATTTGTTATTATAAAATCTACTCCATATCACCTATAAAGTCATAGTATACAAACATGAAACATGTATAGATTGCACTAACTTTCAGCAATGCCATTCTAGCGTGCCAGTCCTCAATTACTGGCACTATTCCTTGAAGTCTTTCTGCCTCTGACTCATGACTATAGCGTATGTCAATCGCTCCTCTCGCCCTAGCTATGGTTAACTGGTCACCTCCAAAAAGAGTCTCCCACATTTCAGTTTCTTGGCACTTAATAGATTCACCGTTTGGCAATTGCACTGTGCGAGTTTGAGTTATAGCTGGAATATACTTTTCCAAAATCTCACACATTTCATCTGTTTTGTTTTCATCTTTTAACTCTATACCAAGTGGAACCTGTGAGAATATTGTGGGTAATCAAATGTTAAGTCAAAAGCATTGTTTACTATTGTAGATTTCTTTTTCATTTCATTTGAATATCGGTGTTTTATGTGCCATGAAACAGATGCTCCGTCTTCCTTGAATGCAGGGAAGTGCTTCACTAGCATTCTAAATCAATAGTAATTTACATACACTTTCAACTAGATTAAAACCTCATGATATACCTTGATATAAGTACTGAGAAGTTTTTCTTCATCTCCATGTGATCCTTCTCTAAAGGCAACAATTAAGGTACATCAATGCATGTACCATCTCTTGGTACATCTGACAAGTGACTACAGTCAACCCTCTCCTTTACTGCATATAAATGGAAGTAGTGACGCGATATTGTTTGGTAGTCCAGTCTTTGAAATGTTTTACGAAAATTCTTGTCGAAATTGTCACCAACAATTTTAAATCCACACCAAATTTCGCCTACATAATAAAAATAAAAATTTACAGAATCAAAACTGAATACCTTCTGTTTCATCCTCTTCGTCATGTTCTTCAGACACTGATACAATTTCACTAGTAATAAAATCGTCTTCCATTATAGGACTGTCCTCAATGCTTTTATAAGTCTTATCAGTAGCATTCGTATTTTTTCCATGATAATTTTTATGAATCTACCATTAAATATTTACCTTCCTCTGTCCTTTCTTCACAAACATTTTGTTCAGTATCATCTTTATCATCAACATCATCAAAATTCCACTCTTCATACTTTATTGCTGCTTCATTGCCTGTGTCACTTTCCTGAGCATGCAAGAGCAATGCTGGTTGGTTTGTTTGACCCATCCTTTGTCGCTTCTACAATAATTTCAAATAAAAATGTAATTTAAAAAACACATTGTACCTTTAAGTTGTTCATTAACTCTTGAGACCAAAATTGAACATCAATGTCATATTCCAGTGAAAGACGATTAATAAGCTTCATGGTGCCAGCATGACTCAGTGTAATCATAAGTGGTTGTAAACAGTTGTAAACCTATTGCATGGCTGTAATAAAATATGTAAATTGATATTGAAGCCATACCTGCTTTGAGCAACCATTCCCATATAGCAAAATAGATACTGCTCTCTGCATCAATGCCATTTTAGGGTATCTCTTTTTCATTAACATACACAGGATTACACACAGCAACATAACTTTTCTATCATCATTTTTTCCAGGTATCAGCAACATAAACAACTAAACACATTTTGGCATTGTTTGAGAAAATTCATGTAACAAACGATCCCATTTAAAATACCGTACCGCTTCTTCATGGTCACGAAGACACGAATCTTGTTCATCCGAACATATCAACTTCATTTCTTAATTCATTTCTGTAGGTGCTTGCTTAATCAATGAACTTGATACAGAAGAAGATGAAGAAAGAGATTCTGAAAAAGGCCTTTTCTTTTTCTTGCCAATTTTTTAACAGTTCTTTTTTTCTCCAAGGGGATGTAATTTCATGTGTACGTTTACCAGAAGACCATTCAATATTAACCTTTATCACAAAATATAAACATCATACAACAAGATGTTTAACTTACGGAAACAGGTGGTTCTTCTTGTTCTATCTCTCGACAGGGTGCATTTATTTCTTTTGCATTCACAATATCAACCTTTATCACAAAAATATAAAACATCATACGACAAGGTGTTTAACTTACGGAAACAGGTGGTTCTTCTTGTTCTATCTCTCGACTGGCTGCATTTATTTCTTCTGTCTGCCGTCTTCTTTTGCTTGGCCCTTGTGTCTCAGATTCAGTTTGTCTACTACCAAGTACGACACCTAGAGCTGTTATTAGTTCCTGTTCAGACCTTTCAACCTTTTTAGAAAGAGTTGCCAGTGCTTCTGCTTTATTTCTGCATTTGTAACAGAAAAAACCATGATCATCTATACAGCTACTGAAAAAATCCTTCTTATAAGAATGCCTAGCCAAAGAGTTCAATATATTTGCTGTAGTTTTGGCAGCTACTCCTGATCTTCTTATTCTTTTTATTTTCATTGTTCCACTAAAAACATCCTGAGAACGGAGAATACAACGCTCCTTCACAGCGTCCATCGTGCAAACACGTGTGTTCGCATCACACCTAGTTTAATGAAATTAAAAATTCATTTAATTTCCATTGTTATGTATAAGGCTTCTTAATATGACGTCACTTCCTTGGACTACTTAGCCCATTTCAGTTTTCCAGACCCAACCCGCAGGCACAGAGGGTGGGTCTGGCTACGCAAGACTAACCATCGACGGGAGTTGCTCTGACTTTTAGTGGCTGCTTCAACATTACTGATGTCCTTCTTTGAAAGCGTAATTATATTCAGAAAATCCATTCCATGCTTATACAATGACATCAGTGATAGTGGCTGAGGCTCATTCTTAACGGCTACTTGAACTCTAGTTTTTAAAGATTGTGGAGTCAACGGCAGCCTAGTAATAGCAGAATTTGATGTACTGCATGTAGCTGTGGCTATTGGAATTACATGCAATAATGCTACTGGTGCTCCCAAGCTTTCTAATTGATGTTGAAGACTTGTAATTTCAGCAGATGTAGTACCTCTATATGGAACTGGTCTGGGATCATAGTTGGTTGATATGACCTGTTTCTCTTTACCATACTCTGCTTTTATGAACTTGATGTTGTTAAGAGTGCATGGGGTAGAGTGACGTTTGCGAGGTTGATGCCACATTTGAAGTGATGATGTACATGATGAGTAGGAGACTGTATGGAGACGACAGAATTCTTCGAGGAAGTAGCAGAAGGCACCGATATGTTTACTTGTACTAGTTGGCCCATTACCAGCAGGACATCCACATACAGCGAAAATTATGTTGCTGTTATGTATAGTAAATCTGACTCTGATGGAGTATGAGAGTGTTTTCTTCATTTCAGGAAGGCAAGAGCATTTCACAAACATTTTATCATCTAGTTTTTTATAGTAGACGTACTGAATATGACCAGCTTTAAACAATGGGAAAGTTCTTGTGTTGACATTTTTTGAGTCATTGTTAGGCATACCATCAGATGCTTCTCTGTGAATGAAATAATGTAGCATGTTTTTCATTGTGAAAATTAATGGCTGCTGATTATCGCCACTGTCATCATTATCATGATCTGTCATCAAGTCAGTAATTGGCCTCCAACCTTCACTTTGCCATATGTCACTTAAAGAACTAATTTCCATGGTTATAACTAAAATAAATGATACAAAATGCTTAATGTTTATACAACTACAGCCTATACACTGATGCATGCACTATGATAAGACTACTGACTGCAGCCAGCCCCACCCAAATGGCAGCCTACTGCTGTTGCGTACCTCGAACACCTTTCAAGTTAGTCTACTTGTAGCAAGGTGTCTGAGGAGTAAGTCTTCCTTCTTCTGGGTCAATTGCTCTCGAGGGGCAAGAACAGCAGGCTATTTCTTTCGATTGACACACACACGAACAGACAGGTATCAAAATTCAAGCATAGAAAAAATTATCTATTAAAAAGAAAAATAACAATATAAAAATAGAGAGAGATAGTCCACAAATATAGAGTAAGGATAGCAGCAAAACAAAGTCAATGCAACAGCTGTCCACTGATGATGAGCTTGAATTCTCAGCCATATTTTAGTGCAGAAAATCTCCAGTTGAGAGGTGCGCATTAATTAGACCGTTCGTTACACAAGGTCCATTACTATTAATAGTATTCATACTTTACTTCAAAGGGAGTGTGAACTAATGCGCAGGTTATGTATAGAACCATAGATATTATAGACTACGTAACCGGGATTGGAAACAGATCACATGATCCCATTCAAATCAATGTAATTATTCAGGTACATACAGTCTCTGTGACAGTGGACGAAAATCTCTGACATGGCTGGAAAGAATGGTTTCTAGTGAAGTCCCACAAGCTATTTCACCTGTACTTGGGGTCTTATAATATACTCACATGTTTATATTTTCCTTTGATACAAAAATAAAGTGTGTTAGCTTCATAAAAACAGGTGTTTAAACCAAGTGCGTTCCCCGTGACAAGAGTAATGTCTTATTCTCCCTCCTGCAAACAAGCTTCTGCTACTCCAGTTTTATTTTATGATTAAAACTATGCACTAGGCCATGCTACATGAGAATAGACAGGTTAGTTCTGCCTGCCATATCACTGAGAGCAGAAATCCACCAAAATAACGCCATAAAAGCGGCCGATCTGTTGTACCTCTCCCAAGCAAACTAAGCATAGAAACACAAAGAGAAAGGCATCGTCATGATCTCTGGTGTTTTCTTCACGAGAATAAGCTAATTAGAACCAGCTACATCACAGTAGAAAATTAATACAGCTCATCAAACATAACAATTCTTCTTGATTTTCACCATTTTGATGCAATTTCATGCATTAATAATCACACAGTCTGTACAAGTGACATCATCTGTTTCCAATCCTGGTTACATAGTCTATAATATCTATGATAGAACAAATAGAGCCTAATTACCGTAGGTTGGGATATATTCGCGGCTGCTTATTTTTGCGATTTTTTCCCGCACTCAGCAATTAGTGATGTTCGATACCGATACCAAAATACTCGATACTTCGATACTACCCAGGATCGAAACGGTATCGAAAGCAATTCCAGTATCGAAAATTTCGATTCCGAGTACAACCACACCCACTTAACTACAATAATAGTTAATAAACTACTAGTTAATTTTAAAATTAAAATGTAAATATTTTTTATTAAAAAATGAACACC